TGCTGGAAGCCCTCTGGTATGTACTAAGTGAAGTTTGAACATTAGTCTGTACAACTCCGTATTTTCAGTCGAATAGTTGCACTAGTAGTCGAAAATTTGGTGTTATAAATGAAGATAACGTGTGTGTAGCGTGCATCAGAGGCAACAGGAGTGTCTCAAACATCTGTTTGCAGGGTGATGAGGAAGAAACGGATGAACGATGAATCAGGCTGGCGACAACTTTCATTACACCAGGTGAGAAGCGTAAGAAACTTCGTACTGAGGTTAACATCGATGGATTCGATCAAGATGCAGTGCGCGCATCCTCAATAATTACCACGAGTTTTCCGACTTTGCCTGTGTGGACTGGTGAACTTCGGATGTTTCGTGGCGCCTAGTTTAAATTTTTGCCTTCACGATGTTCAGCGTGTTTTCTCTGAGCGGCAGTCAGGTGAATTGTGTTAAGGTAACAACACTAGTACCCGGAATGGTACCAGTATCCGGAAATTCGCTCAGTTTTTCGTAAAAAATAAGCGGTAGGTACATCAGTGCAAAAGGGGTGTCAGATTTTCACAAATTACACTCAGAGGGCGCCACCTTGCAATAAGTGTGATGGTCGTGCGCTCCTTCTATTATCTGTACCATGCTTCTATAGTGACGTATTCACAGAGCGGTTGTCAAAGTGGGAGGAGCTTAGCTTTCGTGGTAAGAAATTGGTAAGCGCAGATAAGGAATTTCCAACCTATTTCTCATTTGATGTTGATTGTTTTGATCTCATTGTGATCATTACGTCCTGGAGAACATCTCGAACTCGGATATTTTGTCCATTTGTTGGATTTTAGGTGTTTAATCTCGTTTCCGGGCACAGGTTCATCAGTTTCGGCATTTGCACCAGTATTCGGAATCAATTTCCGGATCCAGGATCATGGAAAATTTGAGTGCTCCAGTATCCGGAATCATTGTTTATTTTCGATGTTTTAGATTAAAAACCATCAGAATAATTTAGTTTTGACCAATTCTTAGGTATAAATACCTAGAACATGTCGAAATATTAGTAAATAATCAAAATGTGTCACTATTTCCAAGGTTTAAAAAGCCTGGTGTCTTCCATGTTCACTATTTCATAACAGTTACTGACGTTCTTGATGCTGACAAAGAATTCGAGCTTATCAGCACCTAATAAAAATTCATTTAGATCATCAGCTATATTTTGTCATTTTGGAGGACACTTGGCAGTAGATGCCTCAGTAGACTCATTAGTTTCTACTATCTCTCGTGTATCTGGATCAGTCTTAAGTTTTCAGTAGTCCATGGCGTTGGGGTTCCAATCTACTAACATGATGACAGGCCTTAATATTTTATTTTCAGTTAGCCACGCCTCGAAAATATTGGAAACATATTCGTAGAGTGTTTTTATAGTGCTTTCCTGTGGTGTAACATTATTAGCATCTATTACTCTACCTACTTGGGAAACGAAAATGACATCGTATTTGACGTCATGACCAGACAGCTTGTCTGGTATGGTCATGTCAATAGAATGACGGACGAAAGGCTGCCAAAGAAGTTGCTTGATTGGGTTCCTCCTGGGAGAAGACGAAGGGGACGCCCAGTGTTCGGAGGATAGGGGACTTTGGCGGCTAGGGGTCGCAGAGCGCCAGGAGTGCTATAAAAGCGGCTTTATACATTCATATATACTTGACCTACTGTTGCCTCTGTCATTTGCCTAAGTAAGTAATACTAAATTGATTCTTTCATGTCTAGATAATTTGCTAAAATGGTCCACCCCAGTTCCGTGAAGAAGAAGGAAAAATCCCTTGCAAACCTCCTCCAAGCAATTGAAGATGTTAAAACCAAGCGCCTCACAACCTAACAAGCATGTGTCAAATATAACATTCCAAAGTCCACCTTATATGACAAATTGTCAGGTATATCCCCGATTATCACTAAAAAAGGCCCCAGTTGCATTCTGTCAGACAAACATGAAGCAATTCTTGCGAAATGGATTTTAAGATGTGGGTCTGCCGGTTTCCCGGTCACAAAAGAGCAAGTTCTCCTCAGCGTTGCTCGTCTAGTTTCAGAGCTGGGTCTATCAACACCATTTACCGACAATAAACCTGGAAGAAAGTGGTATAAGGCTTTTTTACAAAGACATCCTGAAATTAGTGAGAGAACGCCTCAGAATCTGACGCTGTCCAGAGCTAGCGTTACAGAGGCTAAAATCCGAAATTGGTTTGCTGTCGTGCAAAAAAGTCTGACAGAGCTCTCTTTCTCTTGAAAGCTGAAAAGAGCATCTTTCCATTGAGCCCAAAATGAAACTTTTTCGTTAATATGATTGATTTTGGCATGTCTTCAAAGTTGAAAAATGTCCTTAGCATTCCGGGTACTGGTGCTGTTACCTTAATCTTCTCTTCAAAAGACTGCTGGTCCGTGGCTGCGAGTGTTGAGCGGATGTTCAAATGTAATGCGTTGTGTGTCAATTTTAGTATTTTTTTTTCTTACGGTATCGGTATGTGAAGTGTTTTGTTATGTTTGTAATGTAGAAATGAGCATGCCAGTTGGTGTGTTGTGTGGGAGTCGGACTTTCAAAAAATCATCTGCTCAAGTCCTGTTGGAGGAAGAAAATGGTATCATCTCCTTCTTCAGGAAAGACTGAAAACTATTATTTGCTATCACGCGCAGAGATAGCGTAAAATTGCTATTAAGGGCGAACACAAACTTTTAAAAGCTTTCAGCCACCTTAAACCAGCACATATCGAATGCAAAATTGTATGATGTTGCACCGTAGGCACATGCACACTTTCATTTCTGCTGTCCCTATTTGAATAACATTTTTCTGTTCTGGTTCTTAGGCAAAGATTCTAGTCACTAATGTCAAAAAAGCGGCTACCATGTCAAGCACGGCAAGAAGCCTTCTGTCTCAAATGATGAGCAAAAATGTAGTCAGCAAATTTACGTGGATGGGGGTAGCCGACGACAAGTTGAGCTTTTTCAAGCATGGGCTCAAACTTGTTCTGATTGGTAAGTCAACATAAAGTACTAAATCCTCAGTTAATTCAATTGCCTCTTAATTTCTCAGTAACCATCTATAAACATTGAAGCACAATGGCAATTCAGCCTCTATAAATGATTTCCCCCCCCCAAATGTTCTGCCCTCAGGAATACAACTGGGTATTCCTTAATTTTCTTCTTCTTTATTTGCGAGTGTGTAGGTAAAGGTTTAAGATGATTAATAATGCAATGATTCCGTAAACAGTTTGTTGAAATAGGGTCGAAATAATTCAAAACTTCAATGAAATAATTAGAGCAGAAGACTCTCATTGTATCTGCTGATCTGTGTAATAGGACCAAAATAATTGAGTAAGTTGTACGGGTCACAGAATTGTATCCAGATCATCGCAACTCCCACCCATTCAGGATAAATTATGCGATGTATCCAATTGCCAAGTTTTCATGTCAATTATGGGAGGAATATCTCCTGAAACTTTCCCAGTATGTCCTATAAAAATCTTGGTAAATGCCCCTGCATTCAGGTAAATCTCAAAACTTCTTGTAAACTTTCAGCTGCCTCTACCAAAGTACAATTTTTTGACGCACATTAATTGTCACTGTTTTGTTCTTCTTTTTCAGAGTGCCTTGTCCTCCTTCACCCTGCAGAAACTGGCCATCAGGGTCAAATCTCTAAATCGATTGGCCAATGGTTCACACAGTTCAGCGCAGAAGAACAAGAAACGAAGTAAGTTGATCTGTCCCCCTCTGTTCACTTTACCCTATGAATGACTAACTTTGTTTATAAATTATACAATCATCGATCAGAATCATCAGATATGATTCGTAATAGTCAATGTTTATTTTTACGGTTGCAATTGGATGTCCTTTTGGACGTCCTCTTTCAAGGATGGCTGCTACATGCCTGTTTTCATTCGTTTGTGTGTCCTAATAGAATTTCTGACTTTTTATCCTGATGCCCTGAGCTATCTCTGATCCTGAAAATGGCTATGTTGCCTGTCACTTTCAAAGTTGATGAATTCAAAGTTTTAGGTACAACTAATTGCAGTGAGAAGTTTGAACAAAATGGATTAAAATGTATCTTTAAATTCTCTGTTTCTGATGTCAATTCACTGTAATTGTTCTCAATTTGAACACACCTTCTCGAAATTTTTCCGACCTTATCTTCACAAAAATTTCTAAATCTGCCAGCTGCCTAGAATTTTTGTTACTTCATTAAGAGTTGACGAAAAAGTTGATTTTTTTGGATTTTGTAGCCACTGGTAAATTATAGGCACCATGGTAATGATCAAATGGGTTTTAAATTGTTTTCCTAGTCTTTAGAATTTGGTCTGATGGTCTACAAGTGCTCAGAAAAATTATGAGAAATCTTAGTGCAATCATTTTAATGTAAGCTGTGTCTAACTAAAAGATTCAAGATCCTTTGATTTGCAGAAAAGTAAGAGAAGCCAATGAACTTATATTTTCTTCAAAAATGAATTCAATTATTTGCCTGAAGTCGCTTGTTTCAACTTTTTTTTTCAATTTTCAAAGCTATACAGAAGCAATGATGTACTCATTTGACAATTAGAAAAAACTTTCTCGTCCAAGAAAACTTTTCTGCCGTTTCAGGTTAAAAATAATCGAATTTAGTTGAACCAAAATTACCCACATTGGAATAAAATTGGATTGCATTTTGCAAAAAGGAACCAGGAGCATTCCAATCTCGCTAAGATCGTGCAACTTTTTTCATTCTGTAAATAAATATATACACTGATCATCTAAACAACGAGTTTTATCTTTTTATAGATAAACTATTAATACAAGACGAAAATTACCTTTGTAAATTTAATTTTTTTATGATTTCAGTATTTATTTGCAAAGAATGTAAGTTTGCACAATCTTAGCAACATTGAAATGCTCTTGGTTCCTTTTTGCAAAATGCAATCCAATTAAGCCATTTTTACTGTTTTCTTACACTACTTTTTTTTTCTTTTGTCAGGGAAAAAAGACGTAAAAGACCAAGAGCAAGCAAGAGCAGGCAGCACAAGGTAGAAAAAAGAAGAAGAAGGCAGTCAAGTAGCAGCCACTCTACTTCAAACTGCTCCAGTGTAAAGTCGGAAGCCTTGGCAGACCTCTCCGAAGCAGGATCCACTCCTTAAATGGCTGGAATTATCTGTCAGGTCAAATCAATTTTTTTTTATATTTATTTTTTATACGCAAACCCAAACGCTCCACTTAATTGCCTTTGTAGACAGTCTGTTTTCCTCCCATTGATATTTTATTTTTCTTATAATTTTGTAAATTCAATATTTGATTGATGTTTTCTTTGTTCCCATATCAGCCACGCCTTCAATGGCCGGAATTATCTGTCAGTTTAAATCAATTTTTTTATATTAATTTTTTTTTATACACAAACCCAAACGCTCCTCTTAATTGCCTTTGTAAACAGACTGTTTTCATTATGTTTTAATTATTTTTGATATTTTATTTTTCTTATAATTATGTAAATTTATCGTTTAATAAATGTTTTCTTTGTTCCTATAATTTTTAAAATTGTTCTCTCATTTCCAAGTCTTTAAAGGTGTTCCAGACCACCTTCGAAAAATTTTATTAATTTATTTTATAATATGATTTATTAAATATTTAAATGGTTTGAGCTTCTCTCTAAATTAGAATCGCATTACTGCCGCAAAACCACCCAGAGGATGTATTTAGAGGAGAGCTGGCACAGTAAAAATGAGTTATTTGAAGCCTACAAGGCATATGCCGCTGATAATGGTGCTGTGTTAGTCGAACTTATTTAGCCAACACCTTTAAAGAACTGAACTTATCGCTCTTTTCACCGAAAAAAGACCAATGCGACACCTGTGTAGGACATAAAGTAGGCAATGTGCTGCAAGATGAGTGGGAAGACCATGTGTTAAACAAAGATAGAGCAAGGGCTGAGAAGGACCTTGACAAAAGTCGGGCCAATGGTATCATTAAGTGTTTATGCGTGGATCTGCAGGCTGTAAAGGCCTGCCCATTCACTAGAGCAAGCGCCGTGTACTACAAAACAAAGTTGTTGAATCATAACTATACCGTTTATGATCTAAGTAGCCACCAATGCATTTGTTATTGGTTCAATGAAACTGCAACTGACCTGAGTGCCCCTTGCATCTGACTTTTCAAAGACTACGGCTCGATGACTTTTTTGCACGAAAATATTTTTTTGCAATATTCAAGGCATCTTTTATCCTCCAAAAATTCTCTCTTCATTGTGGCCTTCTTCTAACAGTTTCTTATGGTTTTGATGGAATTTTGTAATAATTCCTA